CTCGATCAATCTCCAGATTCCCAGATGTTTAGAAAGGCATATTTTCCACACAAAGTCTCAAGGGCAGAATGAAAAAATGTTTGTTATGTAAGTGTGCACCGAAGAGCACTATTTATATCCTGGCTTTTTAATGGATTGTGTGATATTCTTTGCTTCAAATAGTACATTATGCAACAAAAACATTGGAAGACAGCAAAATAACTGACCAAATCTGAATTAATATTTGATACAACTTCTGAATCAATTCACAAAATAGTCTAGTGAGTAAAAACTAAACTAAGTCATATGGTGGTATGGGGAAAAGGCAGGTAAATGGGAGTGAAAGGTTCCTCTTTAAAAGAGAGAGCACATACAGCACATACATGATGGAACAAAGGCCTTCTTCTGTGCTGTAAATTTCTATATTCAGACCAAAAAATAGAACATTTTAATCCTGGTCTGTGCTGAGCTACTTGACAATTGACCTCAGTACGCCTGGGTTTGGGAAGTTTTATTTCCCACTCCTAATGGTTAATTGAGATCCTTTTGCATGGATGACAGGATAATGATAATAATAATTCTAGCATTTAATATAGGTCTTATCATGTCATCAAAACATTTGATAGTGCTTCATAGAATTTTGTGCAAAGTGTAGTTAAACAAATGTGGTAGGCAGCTGGCACATAGAAATATCCCACAAACAGCCCTGAAGTAATAATAATAATAATAATAATCCTTGCATTTGATATAGCGCTTTTCACGTCAGGAGGACGTCCCAAAGCGCTTCACAGAACACACTGTAAAGTGAATTGACTGTACATTTGTGGGCGAACGCAGTAGCCAATTGCGCACAGCAATGTCCCACAAACAGTCGTAGATTGAAAATGACCAATTTATTATTGTTTTTGGTTTTGGAGGGATTATTATTAGGCGTGTGGAGTAAGGAAACTTGCCCAAGGTTTCGCCCTGCCTGGAATTGAACTCAGGTCTCTCGCTTGCAAAGCGAGTGCTCTAACCACTGAGCTACAGGACTCCACAAATGAGTGAATGATCAATGTTATCTTTTATCAGAATACCAGTAAAAACTACCTTCACTTTTCAAATCGTGCCTTGGGATCTTTAATGTTCACCTGAACAAAAAATTGGTTTAAAGTGTTATCCAAAGGACGGCACCTCTGATAATGCAGTGTTCCCACAGCAACCACACTGGTGTGTCAGCCTCAAATTTGAACTTGAACTCCTGGCATAGGGTTTGAACTGACTAAGAGGAGAGGGTGCTTTCAATTTAACAGGTCTTACTGCATATTTGGGGCTTGGATAGAATCCCCAGCCTATGTTCAAATAACCTGCTAGAACTTGTTCACTCTGAAGGAAAAAGGAATTAAATTGCAGTAAGAGAGTAAATCGTCAGGTTAAAATAAAGTGCAGAAATAAACAGAAATTAATGTTAAAATGTTTTCCTTTATGACTAAAAATACAAAACTATAATAATCATATTCACTTTTGTGCATTATTTATCAATAGGAACTAGAATTATATTAGAAATATTAGAATTACAAATCCTCAGAAACAAATATAGACAGTCTTCCATCTCCTGGGTGAAATAAGATAAAGAATATTTGTCCGATGATGCATTGCAAACTGCACTTGAAGCTATGTTAGGAAAGTAATGAAGATGGAAATATAAATAGGTTTAATGTGCTTAGAGGTGCTGCGGGATATTTTGTACCTATTTGTGAATGGAGCCATCTGAGATTGATCATTAAATTGAAATTGCAAAGATCATTTCTGTTTTGTAAACATATGAGCTGGTTATGAGCAAACTCTAGTTTTCTTGACGACTTGTTCCAGACCATCAGGAGACATAGAGTATCCATCAAAGGAAGTGGTACAACAGGGACTAGGCCTTCACCTTGCTGTAACACTTGCTGTGCCCTACATGTCACTAATCTCTTGCATGTGACCATGAGAAGGTGCTGAGTGAAAACCAAACGCTTCCCTCTGGGGATAGAGAGTACATTAAAACGGTCAATCAGAGTGTGGTGTGGGGGAACTCAGAAGAGGATAATGGAAGAAAAATGGAAAATAATTTCTCACTAAGAAGAAGGGTTTTATCAATAGCAACTCTCAGAAAACTAAGGTTTAAACATTTGTTGTCCTCCAAATATTTTAACTAGACTTAAAAGCATTTTAAATATACTGAATTTTAAAATATATCTAAGTACTTTTCCCCATACAACGGAATCATGCAACAAAATCATCGTAAGAGGAATAATTATGTGAAGATTAATGGGATAACATTTGTGGGGTTTCATAATTCATCCAATGTGATAATGATCACATCAAACACATTATGAAGCACTGCAGATTTCACCCCAATACTGCCTCAGTGTTTTCATGAGAAGGCTCTGATTCAATGGCAATTTGTTTATAGAATTACAAAGGGGATTTTAGCGATCTGTACCAACTACTATTCTCATAAACATGTGGGAGAGTTAGTAATTACTGTATCACCACCAAGTGGGCCATGTTTAAAGCTTTCACAGTTCTGCTCTCCATTGTGAGCCCCAAATAATAAACAGATAACCACAGCTGTAGTCACCTCCATCTAACAAGTAATAGATGTTCTGAGGAGTTTATATTAATGGGATTAAAGTAAACCAAAGCACAGTTTGTTTGATGGTTCAATCAGCAGCAATATGCTTTGAAGACTTGTTTTATACTTCATTTCTAATATTGTCAAATATGTAGCATCAGGAGACTGCAAATATCTTTGATCTACTCATAACAAGCTGTTTGTTTATGGTTTTCCCAATTTCTAAAATGTATTAGTTAAAGACGTTGCTCAGACCATTGTAATTTGTTTTCCTTTGGAGTTTAGAATATAATAATAATAATCCTTGCATTTGATCTAGCGCCTTATCACGTTGTTGAGACATCTTAAAGCGCTTCACAGAATATATTGTAAAGTTCTCTTCAGCCGTGCCTTCAGCTCCCCTCTCGACTCTCTCCCCCCTCCTCGCTCCCTCCCTTCCCTCCCCTCACCCTGACCATTTCCCCCCTGCTCGGGTCCCGACCCAACTGTCCAGCGCCTTGGGACGTCCTCCTGATGTGAAAGGTGCTCTATAAATGAAATCTTGTTTTTGTTGTTGTTGATTGACTGTATATTCTGTGGGCAAAATATAGGATGTAACAATAATATAATAGTAATAATCCTTGCATTTGATTAACGTTTTGATGAAAAGGCTCTGATTCAGTTATTGTATCACATAATAATGCACTGCTTATCCGAAGTAAAAATCAGAGGCACCTCCACTCCAGGGCTTGCTCATCATATTGAAACAGTCTGAGACATCAATAACTAAAGCCAATAGGAAGGTGAACGTTATTGCCAAATCAGATTCAGAGAAGTAAAGGTGGAGAGGTGGCACCTGGAAAACTATGTATAATTCTGGTCGTCATAATATAAGGAGCTGTCCAGAACCCGTAGACCATAGAGAGAAGAGCAATTAGAATGATCCACAGTGTTAGAGATGATCTTTGAGAAGTGATTAGATGAGCCAGTCATTTGAACCTTGAACAAAGACACTTCATATGTATGTTTTACAAAGAATGTACAGAATAGTAACAACCACTTGGCCAACCAGTCCATGCTGATGTTTATAATCCACATAATATTCACCCACATCTTACTCTCTCCCATACCCTTCTAATCCCCTCTCCCTCATGCTTCCTCTTGAATGCATCTATACTACCTAATTCAACCACTGTTTCAGGCAAGGAGTTTCACAATCTCACTACCCTCCACGTGAAGTAGTTCTTCGTAAATTGGCTTTTAGATGCCATAAAACAAGTCACTCCACTTTACAATATACTCTGTGAAGGACTTTGAGATGTCCACCAGACATGAACGGTCCTACATAAAATGTAATATTATTATAATAATCTCATGCACATGCACATATATCAAATTTCAAATTGAAAAGGTAATCCCAGCTCAACACTTTTGAATGCACCAAGTCATTAGAACAATATGCCACAGGTTTAGGAATGCAAAGGGCAATTTCAGGACAGACACTAGGAAATATTTCTTTACCTAGAAGGAAATTAATAACTGGATAGGTTGCCAGGAAGGGTGATTGAGGCCAGAATAGGTTGATGCTGTATTGGGAAGATTATTGTTTTCAGGTTGCTTTTCCGGGGATAATAATCCCTCAAAAAAATACATGTGAATTCCAGAGATAGATTGTTGGAATGCACACTCTCTCCCTGCAGTAACGCATTCTGCTTACCTAATTCCGGAAAGTATTAGGCGCAGGTTGGCAAGAGCCAGGAGATTAGCTTTGATAGTATAAGCAGAATTACATGAAACCTTCCATTTTTTGTTACAGTTTAGTAGTGATCCTATTATTTGTGTTTACTGGCGATAACTTGAAAAGTAGGCAATAGCCTTCACCATACCATCCTCCCTCCTCTCTAAATCATAAAATTATAGTATTGCCAGCTTGTTTCTTTATCATTGAAGAGGTGTGTTGCTAGGCACCCAAACAATAGTTTATGATGCCTTAATCATTATTACTTTTACAGACACAAGTACAAGATTAAATGTTTCACTTCAAAGGCACATTGATTGATATAAAAATGTTGCTTTTTTGTACGATTTATTTAAAATAATTTTTCTTTTTTGCACATGACAAGGCATGAGTAGACTAATGAGGCGAAAATTATGATGGGATAATTAAGACATCACACATCGCAATTTTCATCCCATTGGGAAAATGCTGGAAAAGCACATTCCAGCCTGGTTTTATTCATTAACTATAAAATAGATTTATAATGGAACCTTAAATTGATGTAAGAAGTGCTTTAAGAACTGAATAACATCCTAAAGAGATTCAGCCGCCTTCATCCTCCAACACAGAGTTGCTGTGAAGGAGTTTTGTATGGAGTTTTCCATACACTTGGAGAAAAAAGCAGCTTTTAGGATACTGACTGATAATCTCATTATTCTTTGCTTCCAGATGATGGCAAGTTATCGTTTGATGAATTCAAGGCTTACTTTGTAGATGGAGTTCTCAATACAGATGAGATGCATGAACTGTATCTAACCATTGACACCAACCAAACTGGGTAAGAGCATTTATGCTAAACTCTTTTCTGTTTTAAATACCTTTATTTCAAAGAGTTTGACGACCCTGCGGTGAAGTAAGGACTGACACAAACATTGTACAAAATTATAAATGTATATTAATTCAGGTTAGCAATAGTTATAAGTAATTAAAAGACTACATCACAATAATTCTTATGTATCGATGCATTGTTCAAAACGATTTAAGTTGACCTAATCAAATGCTGCAGAAGAGATAAAATAGCAATGTTCAATTTAATGTCCATTTTAATCCAAATATAAATCCTCAGAAAGTATCCAAGTATTGTTGTATGGTTCCCAGTTTGATATCACCCAAAAGTATACAGGTATTTTTGTTTATTCAATTCGATCACTCAAATGTATCCAGGAATCATGGCACGTCCAATTCTATTATGGCACGTCCAATTTGATCCCTCTCCTTCAATTCTTTCTTCCGATTCTCTTCCGAATTGATCTCCGTTTATACAGCTTGTTAGGTGACCTTTCACCTATTGACTTTTGCAAGATGGTTCCTTTGTAAAAACAAATGCAGCACAGCTCTCTCCACCTACAGACCATTTTTCCATGAGAAAATAACTGATAAGGAACAAAAACAGTTTGTTGTTTATAAACAGTCTTTTGTTTCTCCTCCTTGAGCAAGGATCTTCTTCGAAGCCAGTCACAACCAGCTCCCTCATATGAGATTGATCATATGTTTCAAATATATATATAAACATTGCAAATATAATTTGAGATATTATTTAACACATTGAATACAGAATCCTACAGTCCGCCCTGAAGTGGGTTATGGTTACAAACATAAACCCACTTTTATTACTGTAGCTAATATAAAATTGGTACCATTCTCCTCTATCTCTTTCACCACATTTGATCTCCAACCTATTTTAACAATTTTATGATTCTTAATTGTTCATAAAAAAAACATTTTAATTCAATTTTTTTATCTGATGCATAATACAACAATTACAGTAAATCATTATTAATAATCATATAAATAAAAATAAACTAACAAGGTCATACTTAAATTGTATTACCTCAAAAATTTAAATATTAATTCAGTGGGTGTTCCGTTTTTTTATGGGCATACTTCTTTTCTTTCAAAATATTATCTTCTAGAATTCTAACATACCCCATAGAGATCTTAGAAACTCATCATGCTTGTCATATAAATTTAGAAATCAATTTGTTTTTGATTAATTTAATTTGTTTAAATTTGTCTTCCCTTTGGCTGGCTAATTGTCATCACATTTTCTCTATTTTTTTATTTTTAAGTTTGGTGCCATTGGAATCTGTCAAAATATTTTCTCTAGCCAAAATATTTTTTTGTAAACATCTTCAGATGGTGTCCTTGGATCACACCATAAATTAGCTTTGTTCATACTTGCAACTAATATTTTGGTCAACCAGTTTTTTTCTAAACTAGTCTCAGTGGGTATCAAGGGGAAAACTTGGTCATGGATGAGTAAAGGGAGGAGGCAGATGGTGGTTGTAAAGGTAAATATATCAAAATGAGAAGAGCTATTAAGTTTGGTGCAATTGGAATCTGTGTTGAGACCTCTCCTGTTCCTGTGACATGGAGTAACAGATTGTCAGACTGATTCCAAGTTAAATAAAACCAAGTTGCCAAGAAGTGATCTAGGAGTTTGACAGTGTCTACCTAGTCACTGGAATATGAAGTTCAATAAGAGCAAATAATAATCCCTGCATTTGATAAAGCACTTTACATATTGTCAAAATGTCTCAAAGCGCTTCATAGGATTTATTGTAAACCGTAGTGATTGTGTATTTTGTCAGCAAGTGCAACAGCCAATTTTCACACAGCAATGTCCCACAAGCAGCCTTGAAATTAATGATTGATTTTAATCTGGGAGTTTGTTGACCAAGACAAAATTTCCTTCCCTTTTTAAATGTTGCCATGTGTTCTTTAACATCCACCTGAACAAGCAGACAGTACCTCGGTTTAACTATTGGAATGTCATCCTAGATTCTGAGCTCAAAATCCCGACACGGGGCATGAACCCAGAACCATCTGACTCAGCAGCAAGAGTGCTACCAACTGAGCCAGACTGACAGATGCATACAGGAAGTAAAATAACATTCCATGGACAAAATAGAACTTGCCAAGAGGGAATTTTAAAATTGCCTATTGCCATTATCATTCTTGTGATCCCTTCCGATATTTCTTTTATGTGATCACAAGCTAGAGACACATAGTATAACAAATGACATGGTTTCCATATATAATATTAAGCTTCAATATGAGGATGTCAGTGGGAAGCCTGAACAGATATTTTACAGACCACAGTATCTCTACAAACTTTAGCATATTGTGCATTAGACCACTGCTTTCGTGTCAATCAAACGAGCTGACATCAAAAATTATTTCTAACTCACAAGGTGGTCTTTTGAGGTCAAATGAAAATATTCAGCATGCAAGAAAGTGCCTGGTTATTTGTTTCCGGGAGTGGCTCAACGTCCTTATTTGGGATCAGTTTGAGATATCTTTTGTTGGCATGTTTGTTGTTTGAACAAGTGTTCAAGAAATGCTACAAGACACAAAAAATTACAAAACATAACATTGCAGAAATTTGCCTTCAGATGATCTCCTATGAATCCACAGCCTCCCTACAATGCTTCCTGAGTAATTGCTGACAGCAAACCCTGGATAAAAGCCTTGCCTTAAATTTCTCCCTTTGTCTGTGAAGTCTCCAACAAAGAGCTCCTTGTAAAGAAATGAAAGCATAACCTTTCATGTGCAACTAAAAAATAACTTCAATGGAGCTCTCTGAGCAAGTAACATTCGCCCCCAAAAAATCTTACTGAGAAATAGATTTTAAAATAGGGCAGCTTTGATAAATATTTGATTAAAACAAAGTTGGTTTGCTATTGAGCCCGATTTGAGAAGTAAATGGGCTTCAGCATTTAGTTTGCTAGAAACATTTTTAGCAAGCAACAGAGAGCCAGAATTCCATTTGGTCTTAGCCTCTTTCAAGATTGTCTTCAGAAAATTTTAAGATTCTGCAGAATTACGAAAAATTCTTAAATCCCAATATCTACTTGGTTGCATCCTCTTCCCCCACACCCCCTTCCTCACCCCCAGACCGTCTACACCACCCCCTCCTTTCACTACGTCCCCTACCACTCTCCCCTCCCTTTCAACCACCACCTTCCAGAGGAAGCCCATCCTCCTGCTGCCTCGACCCTCTCCCCACCCAATTGCTGGTCACCCAACTCCCACCCCTCTGACCGCTGCTGGCCGACACAATCAACCAGTGGCTCTCCTCAGATTCTGTTCTTCTCCTTCTTAAAACTGCTGTGATCACTCCCCTCCTCAAAAATCCCACCCTTGACCCTCCAATCTCACAAATTACCATCCCATTTCCAACTTGTCCTTCCTTGCAAAAGTTCTGGAACATGTTGTGGCTAACTAGCTTTGCTCTCACCTCTCCCTCCACTTGCTCCGCAAGCCCCTCCAGTCTGGTTCCCGCCGATGTTCTCTCGGTTTGCCTGGTAGACATCAGGGCCTGGATGAGCGAAAACTTCCTACAACTAACTGTTGACAAGACGGAACCCATTCTCATTGGCTCCCGTTAACGTCTTCTATCCCATGCCTCTGACCTCCTCAACCTCGCCTATCCCTCAGACTTACTGAGCAACCTCAGCGTCAGGTTCGACCCTCAGCTTTCCTCCTTCCATACATCCGGTCCCTGACCAGGACCAACTTCCTCCACCTCTGCCACATTGCCCGCCTCCAACTGTATATTACCCCAACCGCAGCCAAAACACTCATCCATGCATTCGTCACCTCCCAACTCAACTTTTCAAATACCCTCTTCACTGGTCTCCCCAGCTTCACCATGCACAAAACTCCACCCCCATTACACCAGTTCTAGCCGGGCTCCAGCGGCTACTTATCGCCAAACCCATCAATTTCAAGATCCTCACACTCATTTTCAAATCCCTTCATGCCCTGACACATCCCTACCTCTCAGACCTGCTTACCCCCAACCCACAACCTGCTGCCTCCACTTGATTGACTCGGCCTTCTGCATGTTCCACCATTGATGGCTGCATTTTCAGCCACTATGCCCCGAAACTCTGGAACACTCTTCCTCTATCCCTCCACCTTGCCCCTTCCTTCCCCATCTTCAGGTTGCGCCTGAAGACCTTGCTCTTTGACTTTGGTTACCTCCCCCTCCCTCCAGCTCGGCATCGTGCTGCACCACTGTCAAATGCTCTGGGACCCTACCGTGTATGAGGGGCACTTATATCCTTATATCCTTAGCCTCCTTTAAGTCCCGCCTCAAGACCCTCCTCTTCGACCATGCCATTGGCCACCCCATAGCAGGAAAAAAACTGTTGTAATCTCTCATCTGAAGAATGGTAACATCCAGTAAAATAAGAATGAATTTGAGAATTTTACACAATTATGCACAATCTTAAATATTGAGACAATATAGTCCATAGGCTAAGAATACTTGGAATTTTGAGCCTCATATTTCATTCAAAAATGTAAGACAAATATATAAAATATAGGAATAAGACAACATTCTCTTGCAACATTGCGCTGAATAAGAAAGAAGGCAAGAAATGAAGACAGATTTAATTTTTCATTTGTTTTCTTATCCTTATTCCCCCAATCCCTCTAATCAGGAATATAACCAGTTCCCCATTGAATGTTTCAGCTCAGCTAGTTATTACAGGTGGCTTTCTATTCCAAATGGTAAGAAATATTGTAGTGAAAAATGATTTTTTTTATAGTTATGAAATGTCTCAGTTTTCCAATTGATTTGAAAATACTTTGGTTGCAGTCTTGCCTGATACTTAACTAACCCAATTTGTTTTATTTCAATCCAGCTGCAAGCCATGTTTGAGTAAGGCTTCACAGATACCGATTATTTTTAATAATAAATCTTACATTTGATAAAGATCTGTTCATGTCAGAGGACATCTCAAGGTATTTCACAGGATTCACTGTAAA